TTTTGTTGAGATTTTTGTTGATCCTTTTCTTTTACCTTTATTGGAACTTTTCCTTGGTCCTGTTTTTGGGAAAGACCGAATTTTTTCCAATGTCACTGCCGGAGAACTAATAGTATTTGAAACTATTGAGGAGGCAGCAGGTGTCATATTTGATGAGATGCTGAGTATTACAGTTAAAGAAGGACTTGATGCACTTTTAGCTGCATTTGCATTAGGGCAGTTAGTAACTTCTGATGGCAGGAAATCAACTTCAGTAAAAATATGCCAAATAAATGAATATATTCCTGTGACTGAGAAGCCATACATAATGTTTGCTGGGATTAATGCTGAAGGAAAAGCAATTTTTACAATTCCTGGTATATCATAGATTGTCATAGTTGACCCTGGGTGGTTAACTATCCATGCACGTCTTGCTGAATTTATACAGTTCTTGAAAGACCTAAATACGGTTCTATCAAGAGGTTGCAGTTTATGCAAGCAATGTGGTGGGAAGGATAACATGACAATGTCATTTTCTTTTGAATGATTTAGAGCTTCAAACGATATATGTAATTCGTGGTTATCCAACAGGAGTAGAATATTTCTATCCATCGAACATCTTGTGTATTTCACAAAATGTGGTAGAAATTTAAAAAAGTTTCCTTCAGTCATCCACCCTGATTGATGAGAAGCACCTGTGCATCCCAGTGGACCATCAAGAACAAAGGGCTCCTTGTAGTTTACACAAGGAAAAATCATCATTGCTGGTATTGCTGCGCCAGCTGCATTAACTACTTTTGCAGATGGTAACTAAACTTCCACGTTCTCCAGATGTCATGCCACCAACTTGCTTACTACCTTTTAGAGCAACTATTTTCACAGATTTATGTAAAGTTGTTACTCTAGTTTCATCTGCATTATAAATACTTTCTGGACCAAAGTTTTCTCTCATCATAACAGTTTGAAGATTGTTTAAAAAATCATTTACATTTTTTTCGTTGAAACTTGTGGCACGAGCTAACGAAGTACTTTGATAAACAGACACTAGATATACATTCCCATAATTCTCTGCTTTTTCTAAAATGGCTACCAACTCAAATGTTCCAACATGCCCCCACTCTGCCCTAAAATGAAATGATTACAAGCTATCACGAAGTAAATTTATGTTACAGTCATTACATTAATAAATCTTTTAATAAATGTATAAAGCTACTTCTATCTAGATTATTTCTACTCCAGTTAGCAATTGCTCTACATTAATTATACAAAAAGAACTTTTAGTAGAAATAACTTTGTATATATAATATTAAGCCATGATTTTTTTTTAGCCTAACCGGAAGACTTTACTCAGTAGTAGCTTACTCAGTAATCATCTATCAGAAAAAAATTAAGAAAGCGACTTTATTTTTAAGTAAACAAATACAAAAATATTTTTTTCACCTAATAAAAAAAGGCAATCATAAATTTTGACAAACCTAAATCTTGACTAAAGAACTAAAGAGATGTAAGATGCATGCATAAAGTGATTCAGAGTCTTCAAGTTCTAAACTTCTAGAATCAGGTTGTTTTTTGAGTTTAGCTCATATATGCAAGTTTTTTTTTAATTTTTCAATATTAGTGTTATATTTAATATTCTTAACTGAATACTTCACAGTAAGTTTATATATAAGATTGAAGCGTGCAATTTTTGTATATTTTTTAATATCAATTTTAGAACGATAAGTGAATCATATCAGAATTGTTTGCACATTAGAGAAACAAGTATTATTAAATTAAAGAGCAAAAATTTGCCAAATGTAAGTTTATTTGTTTTTATTCAATATTTTGTGCTAAATAAAACCAGATAAATGTTTTTCAAAATATTTAAAAATGTGTATGTATTTTTAACAAGTTGCTAAGTAATACATTATACATAATAATACATTATCAATAATACAAAAACATTTCTTCAACAAGTTAAAAAAGGATTTCAACAATACATTGCTGCACTTTATTGTTATGATAAACTGCCATTAAGTTTCAAGTCTATTAGTGGAAAAAGTATTGTATTATATGTAGTCTTTTCCTTTTTTTAAAGATGTTTCTTGTATTTAGTTTAATTTTATGTTTTCCAGAACAGATTTTTATTAATATTTTACTTAGTTTGAACTTTTTTTTTCTAATAGGTTTTTAATCTGCAATATATATGGAACTACGATGCCTAAAGTTTTAAAAAGTCTTTATTTGCAGTTGATATCCTGGGGGAAAAGACTGAGTTTGAAGATTCATAAGTTTATTATGGTAAAATAAATTATATAACAAGGTTTGATGAAAGTGAAATAATTTTAAATAACAAAGCAAAGTTTTATTTGTTGTTATATTCTTAGTTACATTTATGTATAAAGTTTTCCTAAGTAAAGTAAAATGTGATAAAACTAAATATATTCTATAATTTTTAGGGCCTTTTTCAGCTCTGCTAATAATGTCTTGGATGAAATAATGTCAAAATGTGTTCTACCATTGTTTAAGAAAGCTGGAACTTATGGAAATAGATCCTTTTAAAAAAACTTTATTGAGTAGAGTAATTATTGGTACTTTTTAAATTTTTATATTGGTCCTTTAATATACTGTGTGATATTTTCCATTACTCATTTCTTATTATTATAATTTACATTTTGATGCAATTTTTTTACTTGCTGGTGAAATACATAAAAGATTTCTAAGGTATTTTTCTTTTTTTAGGAACATTAGTGTCACATACAGCAAAATTCGATTTGGTCGATAAGTTGAAAGGCGGTTGTTTGAAGAGAATAATAGAATAAATAGCTTAATAGAATAGCAAAAAAAACTACTTTATTATGTTTTTGTATGCTTAAATTGTAAATAAACACAAAACGTTAAAACTTTTAGTTATTTATCCGGATCTAGACTGTTAGACCTAAGTTTTCATTTGTGAAAAGGTTTTTTTTCTGTACAACATAAGTTATTTACTTAACTTATACTTAATTAACTTATACTTAAAAAAAGGTTGTTAGAAAAATGTTAAAAACAACAAAATGTTTCATTTAGACGTAATAAAAACCAATAAACAACGTTTTTAGAAAAACGTCCGTTCACCGCTTCATATGGACGTTCAAAAAACCAATAAAAAACGTTTTTGTAGGTCCATTAAAAAACGTTCTTAAAACGCTTTTAAAAAAACGTCCGCTCACCGTTCCATATGTACATTTAAAAAACCATTAAAAAACGTTTTCAGGGACCATTAAAAAACGTTCGCAAAACGTTCTTGTGCTCACTGGGATTTAACTATATTTCTCTGCCATGGGTACGAAAATTAAGTAACCAATAAAAAAGATATTTAAAAATGCTGGCTATACTTCAGTTTTTAAATCACCAAAAAGCCTTCAAGAATTATTAACTCAAAAAAATTAGCCTCGACTTTCCAACAACTCTTATCCAGGAGTCTACAAACTGGAGTGTTCGTGTGGAAAACTCTATGCAGGTGAAACAAAACTCAAGGTTTCAAATCGCATGTACCAACATCAAAAACATACTTTTGAGAGAAAATGGAAAAATTCAGCTGTTGCGAGGCATTCCAGAAATTGCCTTGATGCCTTTAGCTGGAATAAAAATAATACTGTTAATGTAGAGGAAAACTATTTTAAGAGAAAAGTGAGAGAGTTTTTGGAAATTCAGTACCATCAGTGCTCTCAAAATGAACCCAGCGGGCACAGACGTCAATCAAACGTCTTACGGACGTCTTAACTAGGTCCCGACGTCTCAGACCAAATTAGGACGTCCTAAAGACGTCCGGTAAAGACGTCTTTGTTAGGACGACCTTGTGACGTTAATATAAAGACGATATTAGGACTTCCATATTTAGACGTCCTATTGACGTCGCTAAGACCTACATTAGACGTCCTAATTACCTTAGAAATAAGTATAAAAATTAATATTTTCAACTTGGCGCATACAATATTATGCGCTAACTCGGTTAATTAAATATGTCTACTTGTTTTGGTTGATTATTTTGAGATTATTAATTTTGTTTAGTTATTTATCGTTTAAAGATATATTTTTTTTAATTTTCTATATTCTATACTCTATGATCTATACACTATAATCGATACAATATTTAAAGAAAAGAAAATTGAGTTTAGTTATTAAGTGTAACTAAGTTACAAGTATAATGAGGGAATTTTAACAAAAGACATCAAAATTGCACTTAGACTTTTCACTTCACGTTGTGTTTTATAGAATAGTAATAATATTTTGTGTGCCTGTGTTATATATATATATATATAAATATATATATATATATATATATATATATATATATATATATATATATATATATATATATATATATATATATATATATATATATATATATATGCAAAGATTTGTAATATCTTTGCTGTAGAAATAGGTAAATGAATAAATAAATTGTATATATTTTGTTGTTTCTGTGTTGTTTCGTTAAATTTTAAATAATTATTAAGATTATTACTTATGTTGACACCTAGTTAGTGTGTTGTTTCATTTAATTTGATGTATAATTATTTATATATACATGATTTATACATTATATTATAATGTTTATATGATGCATACATATTCACTATATATATATGCATATATATATATATATATACATATATATATATATATATATATATATATATATATATATATATATAATATATATATATATATATATATATATATATATATATATATATATATATATATATATGTATGAGTGTGTGTGTGTGTGCGCGCGCGCGCGCGTTTGGGTATAGGTAGCGATTCTTTACAGTTTTTTGCGTTAGACAAAAACCCTATAATTTTTTTGAACTTTACTTGTTTATGTATTCTTTTAAGGTTAAGCATGAAACTTGAGATTTTTTGCATTATTCAGTTTAAATCTAACTCTTCTCAACCATATATAGAAATACTATTTACTATTTACTACTTTATATTATACTATTTACTACTTTATATACTATTTATATGGCTTTACTTATATATTTTATTTTTCAAAGTTTCAGAAAAAGTTTATATTCCAACTTGCTGAAATGAAAAAAAATTTTAGTAGATAGAACTGCACTGTTCTCTAATAATCCAGAAGAAGGTTTTAAACAACGTAAAAGTTCAGATAAACTTAATGTTTTGAAAAAAAATAATTCGCAAATGGAGATATCCAATACATCACTATTGTATACACGAGTTTCATCTTTAAAGTTTGTATGTTATATATTATTACAATATTTATTTTAAATTGTCATAAACATTTTCAATGTTTCTTATACATTGTTTCTTTTTAGATAAAACAGTTATCATTAATTGGCGATAAAAATCTAGCTGATACAATTGAAAATAATTTGCTCTTGTAGTAATTAGCAAAAATTTGAATTTTAAAATTTATGATTGACAGTAGAGCATTTATCTTCTTTTTTATATATGTAGACTGCCAACAGACAATATTTTGCCAGAATACAGCATGAATTGTCTAAAGAAGAAAAAAAAGTTTAAAGAGTTGACAAGTCTATGTAACTCTGTCACTGGTAATCTTATTAGCTTATTAATGTGTTTGATTAATTAAAAATTAAAAATGATGTTTTAATTGAAAAAAAAATAATATTTTTTTTGGCTCTGGAACATGACATGTATTCAAGTGTATGTATGACATATATATTTTATTTTATGATCTTATTGAAACATGTTTTGTTGTTTTTATTAGAAGCTGCTTTAAAGTCAAATAATAACTTAACCAAAATGGATGCTATCCAACTTATTGGGAGAGTAATTAGGCATTCTTCTGACCGAATAAAGAAAACATCGACTAATATGGATTTCGATCAATGTCGGCTTAATTAACTGTTGTTATTTTATTATTTTTTATTTTTTTTTCCATTTTTAAGCAATTTTCTTCTATTTATAATGCACTATCGATTATATTCTACAGTACCTATTAGTTTTTAATTTGAAAAATGTAACTTTGTTTGAAAAATTATTCTTATTTTTTGTAAAGTTATTAATTTGTTTTAAATATATCAAATTACACTTTATTTACATTCATTTCTTTTTATAACTTTCCTTGCCTAGATTAAGGCAAATCTAAAGTGTGTGTTGTAAATCATTGCATTTTTATATAACTTTTAAAAGAATGTCTTGGTAAAATTCAAACGTCTCTAGACGTCTGAAAAAGACGTCCTTAAGTCTTTCATATGAGACCAGCCAGAGACGTCTCTAGAACGTCTGGAAAAACGTCTCTAGGACGTCTTGAAAAAACGTCTTTAGGACGTCTGGAGTAGACGTCCTCAAGCCTTTCATTTAAGACCAACTAAGGATGTCTTACGGACGAGACTTAGGACGTGTTACGGACGTCCTTAGGACGTCAAAATGCCCGCTGGGAAGATGGATTGAATGAAGACGACGGCGATTATGTCACGTCGTCGTTTTGGAAACCTTATTTTTCTTATTTAAGACGCAAGAACACATTACATTGAATTTTTATTATTTTTATTATTTTTTTAACGGTTTTTTTATATTACTTGAACAATGAGGGTATATCACGGCTGTTTCACTCAATATAAAAGCGAGCTTGACGTCACAGTTATTTTTGTGTTTATCAAAAAAAAAAGTATTTCCGCAAAAAAAGTTTAAAAATACAATAACTTTAAAATAATAGTGTTTTTCTCCTATAAGCGCTTTCATCTTCAAATAAAAAAAAAATATAAAAGACCTATCTTTTTTTAATTAAATAATTACATTAGACAAATTTGTGGCGGGATAGCTCAGATGGTTAGAGCGTTAAAGGAAGAGTTAAAACCTGGACTGTTGAGCGATACGAGTTCAAATCCCGTCACCGCCAACTCAGCGCTTGAGTAGCACTTCGGTACGCAAAAATGTTGGTCAATAACGGACGCTACTTTGGATAAGTCTTAATGACTATTTGTGGCTGTTCCTATGCTAAGCCAACAATATCTTCGGATATAAGAGCATTGTATAGAAAATTATAGCATGAAAACTCAAATTAAAAAAAAAAAAAAAATGTTTAAATATTGCTTACGATTTGGGATCACTTTTCTGTTTTATGTGATTTTTACGGAAAACCTGTCTTGGATCAACTAAGATTTCATAACATAGCTACATGCTTCATGGTTGAAATTTGGAATATTTATAAATAAATGTCTATTCTATCTAATTTTTGGTGCGGATTGTTTATTTTTTATTTTTTAACTATTTTTTAATGCATTTATATTTTTAATTTTATTATTAAATAATGAAAATCGTATTATTTTTGTATTCCGCACCAAATTAATGAAATTTCAACCCTTTGTGCATATAAAAATCAAAAAGTTATTTGCTGTACCTCTAGCTATGTTATGAAATATGTTTTCAAACTTGGCTAGTTTAGAAACAAATTTTTCTAGTTTAATGTGCAAAACATTGTTTACATTTCAAAACAATCACGTCCCAAGCAAATATGTAATAAATTTTATGAAAAAAACTTTCTTAGCGAGACGAATTTTAAAGTATAAAATAAACAAAGTTAGGTGGTTTTTTCTTTAGAATAGTGCATAAATCTATTATCAACTGGGTGTTCAAAGATCGTTTTCTACTTAAAGAACTTATTAGTTAATCAACCATTATAAAACAGTTTTTTATGAGAATAAAAACACATTATTAAACAATTTAAATTAGCTATTTGTATATTTAAAGAAACGTTTTACTTTTTATGAGAAAAGATTGATTCAAGTGCCATAAAATAATTCTATTACCAAAAGCGAGGTTAAATTCAAAAACTTTAACTCAGTTTTGGTCATGAATTATTTTATTAGAGTCTTTATTTATTAACAACCTAACACCATATTATTAAAACTGTATGCATAGAAAAGAATTGCTTTAAAAAGAATTAATAGAATTTATTTAAAAAAAATGCATAGAAAAGAATTGCTTTAAAAGTTTTTTATAGGCTTTAGCTTTAAATGTTAACACTAAATAATTCAAAATCAAAATCTGGGTTTATTTTTTAATGCATTGAATTTATCAACTTAGTGAATTATTTTCTAAAACAAGAACTTCTAGATTTAAAAACGTGCTCATTTAACAGCTAATCCCCCTTTTAACGACATTTTTCATAATTTTGCAAAAAATGCAGTTTGCTTGAAAACTTGAATAAAGACTGTTTCAGTTAACAATTAAGTAAGATTTTTTTATTTTAATAATAGTTAAACAATGAGTGTATTTGATAAGAACTATCAGAAATATATTATTCTGATATTTTTTTTATATAAAGTAACAACAAATTACGAAAATTTAACCAAGTTCATCATTTGTCGCTATTTTTATAAACTAAAAAAAGTTTTTTTACTATTGTATTAAATGTCGTATGATAAAACAATTTATTGTTGTTTTTATTCCTTTTACAAAACATAATTATCTCTAATATTTCAAAAGTTATAAATGTTTTAGTAACACCCACTAAGCCAATATTTTCAAAAAAACAAACAAACAAGAAGCTGTAAAGCTCACTCTGAAACAGCCGTGATATATAACCCATAGAAATATTGTATTTGATTATAAAGAATTATGTAAGGATAAGTTTACATGCTATAACAGATGTTTTAACTTAATTAAATTATATAAAAACTTATCTAAGATGTTAACTATTAAAAATTTCATATAATTGTTTTTTTGACGTCATATTTGTGCGGCCGTGGCGCAGTGGTTAGAGCGCCTGCCTTATAAGCAGGAGATCGAGGTTCGAAACGAGGTCTGGAAATATTGTCGCGTCACGGTAGGAAAGGAGGCGTGAACTTCCTGTTAAATGCACTTCCGCGGTGCTCAGTGACAAGACCGTTAGGTCTTCTTGGGGCACCTAAAACTAATAACAAAAAAACAAAAAAAAGATCTCATTGCATTGCTTAATTTGTATTTTTAACGGTTTTTTAATTCCTTGACTTAATAATATTGGCTGATGATTGCCTCCAGGCATGAAACTCTGAGTACCAATAAAAAGTTATTTATATATTATATCATTTTAATACTAAATAACTATATCAGATCTATTATATAAAAATTTGTTTTTATTTTATTGATCTTTTTTAACGAGCGACAAATTTTTTGTACATTATTATACAAAAGACATTAAATAAATTTGCACTTTCTATAAAAATTACGCCTAACTAATAAAGTTCATTTCTCGAAATAAGTCATATATTTATTTACACATAAGTTTTAAAACAATCAATATGCTTACTTACCTTTGTCGTAGAGTTATTACCGTAGAGATTTAAAGCCATTACTACCCATAATTTAAGACCTCAAAATTTGACCTAAGTAACCCCAAGTGTTACGGCTGACCTAAGTAATCCCATTTTTCGGTAGTTCTAATTTTTGAGGTAGTTCTAAAAAAATACTAAAATTAGTTTGAATATTGTGAAATTATAAAACGACTTTAAAAAGAAGTTTATGTACATTCATTTTGTTCTTCTAGGCTAAAGCCATATAATGGTCTTGTTTCCAGAATATATTACAATTTTACAACAAAAATACAAAATTAAAAAATGTTAAACACAAAACTTCAACATAAAAAATAATTTTGTTTGTAAAATAGTTTCAAACTTATCATATTTTGTGAGAGCTTACAGATGTCCTAAGTGCTTTATTTTTGTTATTAGAATGCATTTCAATTATAACTCTAAGAATTAAGAAAAAAAGTGTTAAATGTAAATAATTTTGCTATAAACTATACAAAAAGTCAATAATATCAGACTATACCGTGTCACCATTATTCATCAGGCGTATCATCAACCATATTGGAAATTTCGTTTAAAAGTTTTGTAACTTCGTCAAATGCAGTATTAATTTTATACAAAGGGTTGTCCTTTACCAATGTTGCAGTAGTTTGTAGAATCGCTGAGTTTTTTTCAATCATTCGGTTAAAAACTATTGCGAAGTCTGCTATAAATTGAGTATTGTTGGCTGCATATAACTTTGTTATTCCGCTACCAACAGATGGATTACATACTCTAGTTTTAGAAGTTTTGAGAGATGAAGGAGTACTTAGTCTGCAGTCTGAAGTGCCAATATCGTCTGTTGGTTCCAAGTTGTAAAATATTGCCATATCTGAGTTTAAAAGAATAGAGGAAGAAGTAGAATTCGGCTCCATCCATTGCATTTTATGAGCGCTTGTTTGAAATTGTTTCCAGGGAGGAATACTAACCATCATGTTATAGTATGAATTATCAAGCACGCTTGTAGGTGCTAAAGGATTTATTGCCTTTTTGGAAACTTTTGAAAAACGATTGTCTACCCATGCGCCGTCATAACCGGAATTACTTAGACTACATCTTCCAAGTGAGTGAGCTCCAAGCAATATGATTGTTTCGGTTTGGTTGAAACCAAAATCTTTGAAATACTGAAACGTGTTATTCATACCATCGGTACCTTTTGGATACCTTGCATCGCTGTCTTCAGCTGGCGATAGAGTACAATCTTTTCGACCCACTTTAAATATACTTAAGCCGGTGTATTTATCTGGTGTATCAAATGTGGACCTATTTAAAGCAACAACAGCACATAAAGCATAAAAGTCAGCTCTTGATATTTTTCCAACGTAGTTTTGGTCATACAAGTTATCAAGAAGGTCAGTGTATCTTTTTAAACCAGCATTATCGGGATTAGTATGATCAATACAACCATCGCACCCACCATCTCCTACACAGTCGTGGAATGCAAGTCGAACACATCCTGCTATTAATGGCAAATCATTTCCGCTTCTACTACTTTCAATTAATTGAGAAAGATCAGTAACGGCATTGTCAAATGTTTTTTTAGATGGAACAATGCATTTAATTTTAGCAATACATACCAATAACAATGTTAGCAGTAAATATTTCGTTGCCATTGCCTAAATACTAATTCAAATTTGAAACTTTAAAATACATTCATAAAATATTTAAATTTAGATGTGTTTACTTTGTGAAATAAACGTTAGAGAAAATTTTAGAAAAATTAATTATTATCTAAAGATCGGTAAGAACCTTAAAATACATATATGCTTAAATTCTTTTTTACTTAACTTTAATTTTTTGATATACTTAAAACTTAATAAGGTGTTATCTAATAATATTTTATTTAAATTTTTTAGTTTTATAATTATTAAAGTTTTAAATACAATACTTATATGTAAAAGAAAAGTTGATAGCAATGTCAAAGTTTTTACGACCCAAAATTATAATTTTAGTTACTTAATCTAGCTATCGTTGAAAATGTTTGACTAATGATAATGGTTAATGATCTGCATATGACAAAGAAGAAGATAAGAATGAATAAAAAAGATAGAAAGGAATAAAAAAGATAGAAAGACACTAAAAGATTAAAAAATTATCATAAAATAAAATCAAAGTATTGAATGTGAGACTAAAAACAAATTTATAATGAAGCATATAGTGATGTAATTATGGAATTTGATAGGTTAAAAGAAGTTAATGAAGTTAAAGAACTGTTTTGATAATGTTTCACAGAACTAATAAAATTGAAAAAAACTAAGATTAAAGTTGTGTAAGTTAATTTCACGCTGTAAAAATGCCCTAAAAATGCTAATGCTTGTCATAACTTATAACCTAGGCTAGGTCAAGTTTGGATTTTCTCGTATTTTTGGTGATCACTCATGTCAACTGATTTGTGGCGCTTATAAAATCAGCTTACAACTGCAAAACGTGTTAAAGCTGATATATTCAGGATCATTTGTAATCAGCGTTAACTGCTTGTTTAGTATCCGAAATTAGAATCTGTTAATAGGTAATTTTTTTATCAAAGATGTTTCAGTTGTTATTGTTTTTTTTTATAACATTTTTTTCATTTACTCGACTAGATTATTTACTTACTCGTAAGCAGCGCTAAACGAGACAATTTCACCTTGTACCGAGTATTTTGAACCTCATATCCTCCTGCTAACGGCTTATGATAATTCGGAACAGCACTCTAACCAACTGAGCTATTCCCGCACAAACGATTAAATTTTTTTACTTTCTTTTTACATTTATTTTAGGTAACTTTTTATTGCTTTTTATTTTTAAAGTGAGATGTATTTTTGTATAAAATTATGCAGTGTCTTAAACACAATGTGTCTCTTTTTCTTAAACAAAGAACTGTTTTTTTAGATACTTTTGAAAATATTGCATATTAATACAAACTTTTTTATGAAATAATTTTTTGTAATTTAAATATTTTATTATATATGCGCCGCAATACTACATAGTTTTTTAGATTTTATATTTCATAGAGTTTGAACAGAATTATACCTATGTACTATATTGTTTAGTTAAAAATTCATATAAAAGAGTATTTTAAAGCATTATATTAAAATATTTACTATTTTTGTAAGGAGAAATTCTTTTTTTTTTTGCTGTCTCGTTTTTCTCACAATTTTTATAAAAAGTTTTTGATTGATTTACATTAGTGTATATAAAAAATTGCATATATTTGTAAACTGTAGTAAAGAAGAAAGTTTAATGCATTAAATTTAATTAATTAAAATTTTAAAACTTTTCACCTCTGTAGTTTGATCGATTACACAACTCCGAGCACAACTAGCTTTTTAACCTAAACTGTAATGTGTACCATAAATTTTCGATTCAAAAGAAACTGGAAACAAGTTCTAATAGACAAAAATTATAAGCATGTCAACTTTTAAAATAGATTTATTGTTTTAGTAAAAATTATTTATTATTATGCAATAGGTTAAGTGATTTTTTTTTTTTTAATGCTTGAATGTTAATTTAGTTATATCATAATGGCAAATCATACAGGGTGATTAGTGCAATGTTGGCGGTTGATGCTATTTTAAAATACATTTCAAAGTTTGAATTGAATAATTAAATTTTTTTTTTTTTGCGACAAAAACTTGTAGTGAAATTCACTGAATTGCTTCAGTGAACTTGATAAGTAAAACCAATGTCACACCTACACATACATACATACACCCACATACCTAGTCTTTTTTGCTCGGGTTGTCTTATGAATAGTTTTTTTACTATTGTTAAGTTTAATAACATTTTCCTGATTTACATATTTATGTTATTTAGAAAGTTCTTTTGTAATAAGAAAACAAGCTTTGCTCAGCTAAGCTATAAATATTATTTTCTTCATAAAGTACAATTTGAAATTTATATCACTGATTAATTTAAATCTGCAACACTTTATTGCTTCTATAACAAAAAATTCTAATAATAAAGCTTTTAACTACAAAAGTTTTAAGTTTTCTTGAAACTCAAAACAATAAACAGGTGGGTATTTAATTGACTTGTAAATATTTAATTTAAAGCGTTTTAATAACGTGACACTTACTATTCCATCCATAAGAAATATTTCTGAATAAAATATAGCAACAAATATATGTCTCAACAGAAGTCCCAACAGCAGTCTCGACAGCAGTCTCAACACCAGTTTCAACGCCAGTTTTAGCAGCAGTCTCAACACCAGTTTTAACACCAGTTAGAACAGCAGTCTCAACAGCAGTCAGTAAAAATTTTATTTCTATCATTTTGACCAAGATACAATTTTGTAAGCGCGCAAGTTGAAGTCATCTACAGTATTTATTACAAAAATTTATTACTAGTGACTTAAGCAATGTTGCTGCTGTTAAGTTTTGCAACCCTACAATAAATTGACCAATGTTCTAACCCCGTTAATAAAAGTTTAGTAAACGTAAACAGTTACAAGAAATAAAGCGTACGCTTCAAATTTTTTTAGATATAAGTTAATTAATTGTTGATTAAATGTTGCTGTTAACAGCTGATTAAATGTACAAGGTTGCAGCGCGGAAAAACAATTTAATAAGAAATAGGGTTTTTGAGTATATTTTTATCAACTAGCGGATAGAAATCATTAATACCAACAAATAATAATTTAGAGCGATGTTTTTATCAATGTTATGGAGCCACTTTATTACGTTGCGGGTATTTACTAATTAATTAAGCAGATATAATTTTTAGTACTTTGTAATCAGCGCAAAAAACTATTCACTCGTGCGCGTAAATTTTACTCTTTTGATATTTTTAAACCTAAGGAGTAAAAATTTAAAACTAGAGTTTGTTAAAAGTTGTCGCTTATATGGCCAAATAAATATTAGCAAGGTAAGAGGTGTGAACTTCTTTGTTAAATGCTCTTTTGTGACCTTAAAAACTTGTTGAAGCACCTTAATAACCACACACACACACACACACACACACACACACACACACACACACACACACACACACACACACACACACACACACACACAAACACACACACACACACACACACACACAAAAGATATATATTACAATAGCTTATCGCAAAGAGTACATTTTAATTCGTAATTGATAACGTTTTAATTCCGAAAGTGAAACTATGTGTGCCGACTGGGAATATTTTAAAAGTTAGAATCTCTTTAACGGCATCAGATATACTTATATACAGAGGCGATTCTACAAATAAAATGTGGGGGGGGGGGGAATGAATTCTTAAAATGTACCAACTGGCTTCAAAATTAAAAAAAAAAGGTCCTCAAAACTAAAATTTACCCGACTGAATTGTGTCAAATATCCAACTAACTTTGTAAAAAAACCGACTATAGCTATATATAAAATCATCTTCTTTGGGGGAAGAGGGCAATTCCAAAAAAGAAAGGCTTGTATATAACTTAATGCTATGTTGGTATACAATTTAAAAAGATTCTAAAAAATATGAACCTTTTTTTTGGAACCTTTTTAAATTATATACCAACATGGCTACGCGTTTTCAAAAAAAAAAAAAGAAGATTTTTAAACTCAAATGAAGGTTATGAGCACGCCATATCGCAACGTTAGAATTATCTTGTTCTATCTCCACTTTCTGAAAAATTTGAGTTAATGATAGTGTTGTGTTCCTCAAAATAATGTCTTTCTACTGAATTGAAATCTAAGTTATAAGTAAAAAAGTTGCAGAAAAAACATAAGTTATAAAAAAAAAATTATACTCCGTCTCCTAAAGTTTTTGTTTTTTAAGTCGTTTTATCTCAAAACTAAAAAATGTGGAGATAGAACAAGATAATTCTAACGTCGCGATATATTGATCATTTTGATTAATTTTTTTCAGTTTTTTCTGTAAACATTAGAGAAATTTTGAGAAATTTAAACAATTTTTAGATATTTTAAATTAAAAGTTTGACGTCATATTTCTTAGCATAATTTAAAGAGTTCTCTTGAGTTTGCCTTTTTACAAATTAATTAGTCAATCACAAGGAAGTTGATAAAAATGTGAAGGATTAGGAGTTTATGTTTTAAAATATACGATTTTAAGATAAAAAAATGTTCTATGCTTGTCAAGTAATAGTTATGAAAGTCATTTTATTAATATTATTAATAAAAAAAAATTCGAAATATTTTAATTGGATCGGTTTATCGTCCATCTAGTGATTTATAAAAAATTATTTGAAGCTTTTATCAAAAACACAATTGTGAAAATAAATAAATAAAGAAGATAACATTATTAATAATGTTATTGGTGACATAAACTTTGAAGCTTAACCTTTTCAAATTTTTTAAAAGTAAAATCTTCATTTTATATTCTTTTTAAAATTAATTGTCAACTATTAAAAAAAGCAACGCGAGTGACAAAAAGATCAACAACAGCAACTGACAATATCTTAAATAACTAAAACCTGGGAACGATATTTGATACGGGGATATTTATCTCAGATATTAGCGGTCGCTATCCGATATTCATCAATGTAAATAATTTACAACTAAGTCTCTTTGAAAACTAATTATACTAGTGAATTAACAACTACACCTTTTCAAGATGTAATTGAGAATATGAAAAGTGCAATTAAGAAAAAGGTAATTAAAAAATTCGGAAAAGGTAATTAAAAAAGACAATATGTAAATAAGAAATCGCAATATGTAGTTAAGAATACATAACTGTAACTAAGAAGTTGTATTATGAGATTTTACGATATCTTACGATATTACTTAATATGATTTTTAATATTATAAAAAACTCTTTTGTAAACAACGGTGCCGTTGCTCACAAAAGACTTTTGCTTAAATAAAGAAATTTTGGTATCAGTAATCGTCTTGTTGTATGGAATAAATCATTCTTAGAAAATAGGAAGTAGAAGAGTAGTAATTAACCAAATTAAGGATTGGAGAGATGTTTTTAGTGGCATTTTACAAGGGTGTGTAATAGGTCCAATTCTTTTTGTAAGTTACCAAAAAACATAAATAACACATCTAAATTATTTGCTGATGATACTAAAGACATCAATCAAATTTACCACAACAACTCTTTACCAGGTCTTCAAGATAAACTTACTAAGGCATTCAAATGGTAAAAAACGTCTTATCAAGTTTAACTGTAAAAAGTTTCATGTTATGCATATTGAAAAAAACAATCAAAAGCACATCTACTTCATACCAAATTCACAATTATACTCACAATTAGCTCTGCGTCTAAAGCAAATTGAGTAGTTGGTATGATAAAGCGTGCCTTTAGTTATATAGATAAACAGATGTTTAAAGTTCTTAATAAGACACTTAACCGTTAAAATCTTGAATACGATATTGCTAAATGGTCTCTTTACCTTAATCTATATTGGAATGAGTATATATGTTGGAAAAATATTTGAACAGAGACGAGCAACTTAGGTAATTCCTTCTTATAAAACATGACATATGAAGAAAGACTCATAAGTTTAAAGTTAACAAAAATTTTAATTCTACCTTTAAGAGGTTACTTAATACAAGTTTTTTAAATCATCAATAAAATAGATAGTGTTAATCTAATTTTACATAATTTACATTATTTTTGCGAATGTTTCAGTGTGTCAATCATACTACCTGTATTAATACAGTTATAGTTTTTTTTTAAAACAAAAAAAAAAAAAAAAAACATTACGTTATATCTTCACCTAATGATAGAAGAAGAGTTGGTAAATGTGCTGAGCAAAATGACGATTGGGTGACTCTAGCGCAAATTTTAGATGTCAGATATAAAACAGTTTGCAATTGGATTTGCAGCGAAAATTGTATTGGAAGAGGTGATTTTAAATTAAAAAAATTTAACTAAGTATCAAATAGAAGAAACGCTACTATATATTAAAAGTACCTTTCAGTTGACATTGGTGGCCATCAAAACAAAAATAATTAGACTAAATATTAAAAAATATTAAATATAAAAATGTCTTTTTATAAGAGTCAGCTAATGATTAAAACGTCAATGGACCTATCACGTCATCAGATAGTTTGATAGGATGAAACAAATTATAACCTTTATTTGTAGAAAAACGTAAAGACCTGCAAACGGGGAAGAAAAACAATAAGGAAAATACCTGCTTCAAATGATACAACCATATATTTGACTGCAGCTATATCAACAACAAATGTCGTCATGGTAGAAACTCGCTGAGAATTATTTAATGCAGATTATTTAATGGATGTTGGCTATGTCTTACTAGTGGGTTACATCCGGGAACCCCTTAGAAGATTTGGTCATTGTATCAGACAACACTATTTCAAGCTCGTAAGGAAAGGGTGTCTGAAAACTCACCAGCTCAGTTTTTGCATTTAGGTACATACAGTTCAATGTTAAATCCGGTGGTAACAATATAGAAATTCCATTAGAAAGCTTTGTTCTGATAATCAATATTA